TGAAGGCTTTGAAATAGGGGTATAGGGGGTCCCGGAGTCCGGGGACCTAAGGGGGATTGATGATGATGAAGGCTTTGAAAGGGGGGTATATGGGGTATATGGTAGTATGAGGAAGATGTATATGATTGCACCTATGTATATCATGCAATACTATGATGAAAGTGATAAACTTGTATATATTCACGGCCCGTTAGTACTCTCTTGAGCAGTGTGCGGCTCATAAGACAAAACGCGCTCAGGCTCTTCTCGGGGACTCTGTCTTACATACATTCCAACGCAGAAGATGCGATCCTCCCCAGCAAAGTAGAAGCGTGTCTCAAAGTAGCCTAGCGATGGGTCCCGGTCCTTTTCTCCGAATTCCGAAGTACTCTGTGTTCCACTCTCCTGATTGGTGAGGAATGCATCATTATGCAGCGAGGGGTATAAACCTCCTTACTAACTCCGTCTAGTGTTGAATTTTTCTTCCAAGATATACATCAACTTGTTCAGCAAGCTGACGTGGATCCCCCGGTCACCCCTGGCTTCAGAAGTAGATCCAACTCATTGCGGCTCGGCACAGGACAGATCATTACAGGTTCCTAAACCGCTCGTCTAGGAGACCAACCGCGGGGCGCACCTCATAACTTGATTCATACCGCAATGGGCGCCCACTAGCAGCGCAAACCTGGTACTTTTTTGACTGCACATGATCAACCGGCCATGGGGGCCAAACACACCAGCTTCGATTGCGGCCTTCCAGGTTTTGTTCAACAAGCGGAGGCTGCCGAGCTGTTTGGCGGAGGTGTCCTTGCGACAAGCGAGCACAATCCGGTGCGTGATCCCTCGGGGAATCATGAAGCAGGTCGTACTCCAGGGGATCCTCCATTTCTTCTATCGGCGCTTACGTTGGAGTGTCATCAGCTTCTACCAAACCTGCTCCAAGCTTTGCTTTCCTGAGCAGTCTGAGCGTCGGATAGAGTTGCTTCTAGTCGCTTAGGCCTACAGTTGGTGCGCCCGCGCCGCGTCAAGCCTGAGCTTCAACGTGGTTCAGGTTATTATGATATCTAAGCTGCTGAACCTGGTTGCGCCTCCTCTGACGTTTAGAACCTACTCAACTGCCATGCTTCGTCACCGTGACGCAACCGTCTGTACGTCTGGTTCGCAACGCCAGCGCCCGCCGGCACGCGGCCGCCCCCCGGCGTACGCGTCTCATCCGACGGGCCGCCAGTTGGCGCGACCTTGCATTCCCACCAGGGTTTCCCACAGCCGGCACTCCCACTTGGACCTGGCCGGCGGTGAACGAAGTCCGGCCGGTGCCGAAGGCACCCTGCCGGCTGCCAAGCCGGCCCGGAGCCGGCAGAAAACAGACCCTGTCGGCTGGCCGACAGGATTTGGCAGATGCCGGCCCAGCCTAGTTACGTCTTCTGCAGGGCAGGCCGCCGCAGGCGGCCATTTTGACTTCCATTGCATGCCAAGTTCCCAATAGGGAAGCAGGCTGCCGCTGCCATTGTCTCCTCAGTGCCGGGTCCTCTACTTTCAGGCCTAAGCTCCTTTCAGACTCAGGCTGTCCATCGATAGATTGCTTCGGTTCTGGCCTGTTCAATAGGCGTCGAACCTTGAGCAGTGAACTCGCAACGTGCCTGCAACCCTGCACAGTGCAGTCGCTCTCCTTGCAACAGGCAGAATGCAGTCCATCAGGAGCTATTTCTTGCCGAGGAGTACCCCGCCTAAGAGGTCCAAACAAACAGTAGGGGGGAATGATGGCACAGGCCCGTCCACAAGGCCTCCAGATGCAGCGGCAGGCGGTAATGACCAGCCAGTTGGTCGTGCACCGGGCTTCCTGGAGCCAGGACTTATGGCCTTGGTTGAGGGGACCAGCGATGCAGATCTGATTGAGCTTGAAGCAGGGCTTGAGCAGACTGGGTTGGCTGCTGAGACTGTTGGGCAGCCTGCTGTTGTCCCAATCCCAGTGGCAGCCAGGGAGAGGGTGCAAGCAAAGGTTCACTTGACGAACAGGGAAAAGAAAGCTCTTGTTCCCGGCAAGTTGAACTGGAGGGCAGAGGTGAAGGATCACTGGGCGACAAACCATCCCTGGCATGAGATAGTGGAAGAGGGCGTTCGCAGGATCAGGTAGGGCCAATTCCGGCACTCATAGTTTTGGCTCCCTAGCGGCATGGT